CACAGGATTGACACACACAGACTTTACACCAAAGAGTTCAGAGAAGCCGGCCGGCTGAAACTCGGTCTAATCATGTTTGTGTCGCTGAGTTCAGCTACAGACATCACACTCTGCTAATGAAGAGCTCCATTATTATCATCAGGATTATTTATTTTAATTTTCCCACTGGACAGACAGCTCGTTCTGCTGGGAGTTTGTTCCCACACCATGTCCCCACTTCACACTGAAGCACTCGGATTTTGTCGTCCGGCTGCAGAGGATGTGTGAGAGAGCTTCCTATAAATACAGGCATTACTCGACGCTTTCTAAAAATACAAGCGTGCACACAATAGTGAAGGAAGTGCTGATTGATTGCGAGCGAAACAGTGAAAATAGACCTGGATGACGTCACACACCTAACATAGACTGCAGAATAAGCGCAGGATTTCTATTGTTCATGTTGAACTTGACAGGCCACATGATGACGACGGTGAGGATGAAAATAGCGACCAATCAGCTGCTACATTAACGCAAAATCATCTAATTACCGACAATTCAAACCACGTATTTTAGAGACTTTTAATTGCGCAAACATAAGCTGTATATTTCTTTTCAAATTCAACCAACCACATTAAAATTTCGACTTTCTCTGCACATGTGACCGGCAGATGGCGCCATGGCACCACTTGCTTTTGCATAAAGGCTCTGCATGAGTTCATTCCTGGCATCATTTAAAGTTACTCGCAAAATTTCTGCCAATATTCTCTCTAATCAAACATCAGGATAAAAACAATAAAAATGATGGAAGTTTTAATCACAACGATTTTTTTATTGAAAGTGTGAGACAACTCAAAAAAGAGGAAAACCAGCATAAACAAGACAGTTCCATCTTTAAATAAATTTATGAGTATGAATGTTGCGCACATAAGAGGAACTCTTGACTTTATTAAAATAACCTGAGGTGAGTTTTTTTTTCCTTCCTTGAATCCTTGCGGATTTCTTTCTCGTTCCTCTCTGTTTGTTTGTGGATGTGGACAAAAACATGGCACACTCATCTCCTAAAAATAATATTACAATTTTAAAAAATTCTGATACTCCATACAGTTTTTTTTTTTCTCAAACCAACAAGCGCTAAATAGCTCCAATTTACAGTATATGTTCATTTAGCATAGGGAGGTGAGGGTCAACGAGAAGGAGGATCAGGAAGGGAAACGACAAAAAAAAGTATATATACACGCTAATATACAGCATTGAATAAATTAATACCAATTGCATATTCTTGATCTTAGATTTATTTACAGAAAATTTTAATTACATAAATAGTTCAGCAAGAATATTTCTGGCATGAAATGATGAGCGGTTAGTCTCTGTCAGACGGGATTTTCACCTTCCATCCTTCCATCCCTTTTTGTGAAATAAGCAGACCTGCCGTCATTAGGCTCCTGTTCCAGGATCGGTTTTGCTTAAAAAAAAAGAAAATAAAAGAAAAAAGGAACAAAACAAAACAACACCCCCTCCGCTAAAGTTGGATGCTGATATATATGTGCGTGCAGCTGCAGGCTCACCCATACATGGGTGCCTCCAGGCCCCTCCAGGCCCCTCTGTGGTTCATCCTAACATCACCACATGCCAAAGCTACTCTCTGCTCCACATCCTTGAACGTAAGTGGTTAACTTTTTGCTAAGATATTTCATTTCCATTGCTGTAGAATTGTAATTTAGGATTTTTCAAATCATTCTGAGCTCATTTAAAAGAGCATGATGGTGCCTGGTGGGTTTGGGGAGAGGATGTCAAACAGCAGGACTCAGTGGTTGTGGTGAAAATGTCTAGAGAGATTTTCTCTGTAAACCAGTCAGCACGGTAGGAAACCTTCAATACTTGTGAAAAAAAAAAAAAAAAGATTTTTTATAATGACAGACTATATATATCTTTGTGTACCCGCAGCTTTGTTCTGAAAATATTTTTGTAATTAGTCTTCATAGACTCTCATCATGTCAGTGTCTGTGATGTGCTGTACAGGACATATGCACCCAAAGTTCTCTGGTAGTCTTCACCCCAGACACAAAGTCCTCATCACTTTGGAGAGTCTGCAGTGGGAGAGGGTTCCCGTTGGCCCTCCAGGCCACTGACCAGTCTCTGAATGCTCTGCAGCTCGTTTACAGAGTCCTTCATGGAGGTTTTGGGAGAAGCCACCTTTCCACCCAATCCCCCTGTCTTATGGTTGCTGTGGTGATCTGGGGCCGGGCTGCTCTCCCTGCTGCCAGGTTTGGATGACTCATTGCCCAGGCTGAGGCTGCTGGACAGGCCAGTAGTGAGGAGGCTGGAACTCTGGGGCAGCGACATGGGGAGCTGGTAGGGGTTGAAGCGTAGGCGGGGACGGGACGAGCCCAGGAAGGGATTTCTGGAGAGCGGGCTGGAGGTGCTGGTCGCAGGGAGAGCTGAGGCTGAGGCTGAAGCTGCAGCTGCTGCAGCTGCCATGTAGGTGTACGGATACGGGAAAAGACCTCCAAAAGGAGGCATGGGGATGCCCTGAAACACACAAGAGCAACAACTTAGAGAAACTTTCAGACAGGTCTCATTCACTGCAGGAATTTACAAGGTAGGACTGGTAGGAGCAAAGCCATAAACATCTTTATCTTCTGAGCAATGTATTTTTTTTATTAATATTATCCTCTGAACCCAGTGATCTATTCTAAAAACAAACAAACAAAAAACAAAAAACAAAAACATGTTTTTATGAGTAGACTTCTGGTAAACTCTTCTAAATTAACAATAAATTACTTAGGAGTTCTACATGCTTCATGCATTTTACTGTTCATTCTTACAACCTTGACTTAAAGAGAAAGAAAAAAACCTGCTGATTCATGGTAGGTTAGCTCCTTGTATGTGAAGAACTGTGCAAAATGAGGTGAGAATAAACGGTAAGGTGCCTAAAGAAGGGACAATCTAACCTGACTACACTCAGGTACAAGCTCAAGGGTTTCTGCTTTACTGCTGTCAGATAGTCTGATAAAACTTACAGAGGTGCAACTTTTTTGGTCTGTGTGACCCTCCTTACCTGAGAGGCAAGCATGTGCTGAGACAGATGGAAGGGGAAAGGGTTAGGAGTTCCTCCAGTGCCCTGGGTGGAGAGGCTGCCGTTTTCCAAACCACTTGCTCCTGAAACAGAGGCCAACAGATGCCCCATTCCCATAGCAGAAAAGGCTCCAGGGGCCATGGCAAACTGGCCGGGATGAAACAAAAGCGGCGATCCGGTGCTCAGGGGGTTAAAGAACTGCTGACTGTGGAGCCCAGACAGAGCCAGGCTTTGTAGGTGACCTGGGCTGAAGTGCGAGGGGCTCTCAGTTTGGACCACTAGAGGGGAGAATGTGTCCTTAGTGGCAGCCGTGCCTCCAGCCTCAGCGTCCTTAGTCAACACCTCTGTGGTGTCCTTCCTGTGCCTGCTCTCTGCTTTGTCCTTCTCTAGATTCCTTATACTGAATATGGATTCATCCTTCTTCTCGGCACTGGGCCGGTCCCTCACGCGCTCCTCACACCTGGAGCTGTAAGGGGACACAGGTTCAGTCCCTGGGCTGTTGGAGCCTGTGCAGCGCTCGTCCTGCTGCTCCAGCTCCTGCTCACTGTCTGTGAGTGTTTTCTCATCTGAAAAACAGAAAGTAGGAAGATGTATAAGTCCAGTTCCCCACTGAACAAATGAGCAGAGTATGAAAAACAATCAAACATCTTCTGAACTTCAAAAGTTGCTCTCAAAATGTACGACATGCATAATTACACCATATAGCCCGGATTAAAAATCCCTGGGGTTTTAAAGTTTGTAGTATGTATTTTTAATTTACCTGGGCTAAAAATAAATGTGTTTTGTTTCCAATGAAAAAAAAAAAAAAGCATTAGGCACAGTTTGTAGCTATTAAAGTTTTATGCATTTAGTGTCAAAATATGGGTCAAAAATATACTGGAAAAATAAGGACTGGAGGAAAAGAGAGAGAAAAGTTTTATAGATTTGTTTCAAAAGTTCAAAAACAGAGTAAAATCCAAACTTGATCTTTTCATCGTCATGTGTCTGTACTCACTAGGTTCACTCAAAGTTAACAAAAGCAACTATTATTATTATTATTACTATTATTATTATTATTATTATTATTATTATTATTATTATTATTATTATTATTATTATTATCATATGTTGTTGTTGTTCCCGCTGGTAAATATAAACTTTCTTATAAAATAGCTGAATTATGAGTGACATAATATAATCCAATTCGATTAATAACATCGTGATGGATTAGCCAACATAACATTGGACTGAAGGTTCGGATTCCGTAATTCATCCACAATGATTAATATTGCTGTCCTGCTCACCCAGGGCCGCCAGACAAACAGACAAACAGCACCCTAATATTTCTCACCTCGGCTGGGCCTGCTGAACCTTAGCGGGCTGGTGCTGGGGCCCAGCGGGGAGTGGACTGCATCTCGGCCGGCCTGAGGCTCGCTAGAGGAGGCGTCCGAATCCGCGCCCTCCCGATCCGCTTTGCACTGGTCCTCATACATCCGCAGCGAAGGCATGGTCAACTGTTTCCTGTAAATAATAATAATAATAATAATAATAATAATAATAATAATTCTGACGCGCCAGGTATAAAACAGTAAGGGGGACGCGCATGCGCACATGCACTCATTTAGCAGGTGTTGGTTCCGTACCTTTTTTCTCTCCTGCCGTTGCCAGTGTCTCTGAATCCTTTAGCGAAAGGGTTGTTGTCAATTTTCAGCTGCGTTATCTGCCCAAAAAGCATAAATAAGAGCACGTTTTTTACATTCAGCCTACAATTGAATGAAGCACAGTTGGTTCCGCCAGCTGGTTCTTATTGAAGGAAAACGGCTGGGATTAACACAGGCCGAGAGCTGGGCAGCAGCCACCGCTGCCCTGGATTTGCATTATTAATAAAGGTGTCAAATGGGGGCGTTATTCTTATTGGGCCCCAGAGAGAAATTCTACTACGAAATATTCTTTATGGGCCTTCACGAGTCTTTGATAGTCAGCAGGGAAACTGGTGCCATACTGGAACAAATGATTAGTATCACAATAATTAATAATGCGACTTGGATCGCAGTTGCGAATGCCATGTGTTCTGAACCAGACCGGGTCTGTCGACCTATGACCGGACACGGAGCAGAAAAAAAGTCAGTTTTTTTCGGGGCTCCTGGAGGCCCTCAAAGCTCAGCTAATAAAACACTTCAGGCATTTTTCAGTCGGGACAGACAGAATGTCCAGCAGCTCCTGGACCTCTAATCGATGGTGACTCTTTACCACAAAATTTTACAAAGAACTCCCCCCCGCCGCCCCCTCCCGAAACACACCTCCGATTCCACCCGTCCGGACACAAACCCAAATTACCCTCACGACTCGACATAAAGGCGCACAAAGTGAGCTCCGAAATGACAGTAATGTTATTCAATGAGCATATATTCTAGACAAAATGAATAAATAAATAAATAAATAAATAAATAAATAAATAAATAAATAAATAAATAAATGAGATCAAATTTATTCTACTTGAAGCCAAAAGTGAATCAAACACTTTTTTGTAATATTTATTCGACCAATTTGTTTATTATGTATCTTAGCCTTCTGTTATGCCGGCAGAGAACTTGCGGCCAAGACCCTGTGAGATAAATCTTCTCTACAAATCCAAGCAATTAAAAAAAGCAAGTGGAACATGGGAGTCCTAAGCAGGAAAATTAGGCGACCTACAAAATCAGATTAAGTCTTCAGGGTTTTTGGTGGCGGTGGTGGGGGGAGGGGAGGTGGATTCATGCAGTACATTTATTATGCAAACCATAGCGGCCATATTAGTGGCCGGACGCTGCAGGCGGCAGCGGCTCACCTTGTCGTTCTGGTAGGCCGTCACCGCCACGAACTCGGTCTCTGGGAACACGTAGGTTCTGAAGGTGCTGTAGGGCAGCTTCAGGATGTCGTTGGCCCGCACTATGTGGAACCTGGGCTGGTACTTGTGCATGGAGTTCAGGATGGTCTGGACCAACACACACAAAGAAGCACAGCTTTGGCGTAAATATCGGAGCATGACTGAGGCTAAATATGCAGAGGTGGATCATCCAGCGCGCTGTTATAATTACTGGCCACATAACACTTGTCTGTAATTAGTTCAGGGTAAAGGGGCAGAAGCAGAGCAGGCCACACATGTTGTCATAAGAGATCAGAACTACAGAAGGGAAAAAAATATACATATTTCAATTTTTATTGGGGGGAAAAATCCATTGAAATTATAGATATTTTGGTGGAATTTTTTAGATTATTTCAACGATTATTTTAAAAGCAATCTTATAAAATTTGACATCAAATATTTTGAAGTTCTAAATAAAATCAGCAATAAACGTGAAAAATATTATACTAATTTTGTAGAATATTTCCAACCAACACGAGAACATTTAAAAGCATGAACACAAAAGTCCTGCAGCAGCTTTCATAACGACCTGCAGTTCTGTTTGCTTCTACAGCCCGGACTCTTTAAAAAACATTTCATTCGAATAAAATACAACGTATAGGGATCATATTAGTAGGTTCATATATTATATTATTAGGTAACAGGCTTCTGTGCCTTCCACACACATTTCATTCGTTTGTCTCTGACCCGACTCGACAACACACCACCTAATCCCGCAAACACTCGGCCCGGATCATTTTTTTCTCTTCCCTTTTCTTCCTCCCAGCGGCGGCAGCAAGGATCCGAGGAGCCTGCCGAGCAGGAGCAGGAAAACACAGCCTGCCTCTAAATCAGCCGAGCTGCGATGGAATGAATAATCTCTGTCAACAGACTTGGACTCGTGTGGACAAGTAGAGAATATTTGAACTTGGATTTTGAAGAACTTTTGTTTGATCTTTATATTTAAAATAGTTTGTTTCGTAATGAAGCAATGTCCTAGCTGTTATTCCCGTCGCTGACATTTTTTCTTTGACCCACTTTCCAAATCATAAAACTGTTTCCTGACCTAAACTTCACCACTAACACCATTACATCCACCCCAAACTCCCACATGCGCACATAAAACGAATAATTCCACCAAGCCAACCACTTTCACGCTGATTTAGGCTACTTACAAATCCGTGCTTGTCCGAAATGTTGTTGGTCAGCTTGAGTTTGTGGAAGGCAACAGGCTTGGCCATCCACTGCTCGCCGGTGGCCGGGCTGTCCGGGTGGATGTACATCCGCTTAGGCATCTCCGGGTCGGCCTTGCCCGCAACCATCCAGCGAGAGTTGTGGAACTTGTAGCGGCAGTCGTCCGCCGCCACGATGTCCATCAGCAGGATGTATTTGGCTTTTTTATCTAGGCCGTTTATCCGCACCTTGAACGGGGGAAACATCCTTCTGCAGAGGAGAAACAGTGGAAGTCACCGCGGCGCTTCGACGCAGTGGAGAGGACGCAGGAAAACCACAGCAGCTGTCCCATATGATTTTATTACAGAGAAAAATCCACAGTGTGTCTGTTCATCTCTCTCTTTCTGCGTGCGTGCGTGTGTGTTTGAGTGTGTTGTCCAGCAGCGTATTTATGAGCACACTGCTTCACCTCCCTGCGTTTTGAAGTGACAGCCTGTTTATAAAAGCCAGAAGCTCTGCTGTCTCCATGAATGCAGTTTGAAAGATAAAACTCGATAAAAGCTCAGAACACAATCCCCCCAAAATACCGCAAATATGCACTCTGAACCCTGTGATGGACGAAATTAGACTGTGTTTGTAAATAAGACACAGTTTTAGCCCCGCAAAGCTAACATTACCAAAACAAAACTAAACTTAAAAAAAATAAAAAAATAAAAAAATAATAAAAAAACAGAAACTACATTTAAAGTAGTACGTTTTGGGTTAGTTTGAGCTAAATATGTTGTGTTCTTCAAGTGCTCTCTTGGTTTGGATTCTGGTCATTACCAGCAGCTCAGACTAACCATCTGCTAGTGAAGGCCTAACGCAGCATTTATTGTTTGCTGCCAGCTTAAATCTTACAAGTTTTAGTATTTATTTTTTGTCTTTAAACAACTTTTCTACAGGGAAACTGAGACTCGGTTTGAGAACTGATTAGAACTCGGAGGAATTCTTACCTTCCAGACTTGGTAATAACCATCTCCGTTCCGAGTTTATGAAACTGGTCCCAAAGATCCTTGGCTTCCAGCGTTACTTTGGGGTCGTCATCCACTTCCTCCTCGGGCTCCAGGCTCTTCATGCTGCGGAGATGAGCCGCCTGATGGTGGCTGAGGGCCGGGTGGAGTCCAGCCTCCGCCGCCCCGGCCAGGCCGTGCTCCGGGATAGGCTTGGTGAGCGCCCCGGGAGGAAGGCTGAGCGCTGGGAAGAAGGAAGGCTGCGCGGCCGCTAGAAAGGCGGACATGGGGAAATCGGTCGGCCGGTGTGGGTGGAAAGGGTGATAAGCCATCGCAGTCCCTGTGAAAACTGGATCTCTCATCGGTGCATCCACAAAAAGCGAAGTGAAACAACGATGGATGTTTTAGTGGTATCTCCGCCCCGACCTGGAGCCAGTGTGGCTCTGCGCTTCGACGGCAGATAATTTCTTTAAAGCGGCGCAGACGGCTGCTGCCTCTTGCCAATACACTCGACGTGTTGTCGGGTAGAAAAAAACAGACCAGAGTTGCTGCTGATGTCTTTTTTCCTCCTTCGGTTCCTCGGCTGCGTCCTTCAGTGTCGGCGGCGCTGTGACGGCTCAGCCCGGCTGCGCTATGTCTCCTCTACTTCAGTCATTCCACCCTGACTGAAGAGATGTGGCCCTGTTCACTGCTGATCTGTTACTATCTCACATGTCCTTCCTGCCTCCATCCCCAGCACTAATGAACCAAGCCCCTTTGATTGCTGATTTTACGCTTTCTGGACCAATTGTGGGCCCCTATAGGCGTGGTTCTGACAGCTCCGGCCAGACTCTAGGAGAGGAGAGGAGGAGGGGTGGAGGGGCAAGAAGGTGTCGGAAGCATTAGCAGTAAGAAAACATGTCAACAGAATAAAATATTAACCAATGACAGGAAAGATTGGGAAATCCCACCCCCATTTCCAAGCCAAACACCGGGTCAGCCCTCAGTGCTTGGCCGGTGGAGGCATCATCTCTCTCGGCTTGCGTTTTTACAACGTCGCCTCCGGAAAAAAAAAAAAAGAAAAAAAAGAAAAAAGAAAAAAAAAGCAACCTGTCCACAGACTCATTGTCTACATACTCACCTCTGAGCAGGAGAACAGCTTCGCTGCTTCACAGTCAGTGTCTCAGAACAGGAAATCCTCGAGTCGCAGCTATCTGAGCATTCCGGAGAGACTGATCTCCCAGAATCGCTACTCTCCGCAGCCGTTCTCCATATTAACACACACTGTAGTTATTGGTCGGCTGTTTATTGCACTTACGATGATTTACTTCACAGTGTGCCGGGTAGGGTCAGCTGTGCCTCGCCTCAAACATCCCCAGCCTCTTTGGGGGGAGAGCAGCTCAGCCTGGCCGTGTTTCCTGGTCAAGGTGTCGGGGAGGCAGCGGCAGCAGCAGCGGTGCACTGAGGGCTGGAAGAGGCACAAGCTGCGTTAAAAAAAAAGAAAAAAAGAGGAAACGAAAAGATTCACGATGAATATAGTCTGAGAGAAAATTCAGGGAGGAAGAAAGCGGTGAGTGTCCACTTCAGTGAAATTCTTCCTTGTTTAGCAGCTGAAAGTTTATTGAACTTCTCTTGTATTTTTAGACCATCTTTTTGTGATTGGACTTGTGTTGTTTCCGCTCAGCATCGCGTTGATGTTTCCTTCTGCGTCGCTTCTACTTCCACATCAAACAGGCGCGGCGATGACATGATTTAGTGCTGAGTGGGATCCGAAAACAGGCCGTGACAGCGCGGGGTCTCCGCCGGCTTGGATCCGGTTAAACGGTGCGGACTGTGCGGGGATGGGTCTCCCGCACTCACCGGCCTCCGGACGCCCTGCTCCGCTGAGCCTCCGCAGGAACAGCGCCGCGCCGCGCTGCGGCTCCTGCTGAACTCGGACTCGGGTTGTTAGCGAGCCGCCCGGCGCCAGTCGGCTGATGCACCGCAACGAGAACAATCTCCTGTCTCTTTGTATTTACCCTGAAGTGTTGCATGTGCGAGCCCCTCCGGCCCCCTCTGCTGCCTCATCTGCGGCTCCGCTCCACTTCTCCGCCTCGGTCATGACTCGGTGTCAGATGTGAGCTGTCTTTTTTTTTCTTTTCGTTCTTTTCGGAGAAGCAGCTGCTCTGCTTGGGCCACAGGCGTCACTTAAAAAACAAAAACAGAAACAAAAAGTGATCCTCTCCCTGAATGAGACCGTCAGAGGCGGCTGCGTATTTCCTATGAAGGCTGGAAGTGAGCCGCGTCTCTGCCGCTTCCGCTGACAGCCGCTAAAAAAAAAGAAAGAGAGAGAGAGAGAGAGAGAAGAAAAGCAAAAACAAAACAAAACAAAAAAATGTAATTGGCTCCCAAAGTATTTTGAATATTATCAATACATTTACAGCTCAAATTAGCACTTGGGTGTTCTTTTGTAAACAAAAGAATTGTTCTTTTATATTTCGCCACTTTATTACAGAAATGTGCAAATAATAATAAATAAACTGAAAAAGTGAGTCAAAGGGGGCAACACTAAATATTCACTCCTCTTAAAAATGCTGCAGCAGTTACATGAACGCATGATGTAGGCGCATGAATTGCTCATCTCCACCGTGGTACACACTTGTTGCTGGGATTTTTCCAGTTTTCTGCAGCCACGTTCAAGTAGCAAGCCTGCGGGCCAGACAGCGGCTTCCAGCAGAGTCAGACCTGTCTGGGTGGAAGCAGGGCTGCGAGTGAGAGCACGAGGATGGGCTGAAAAATAATTTCTCTCATTGAGAATGCATGGCACATAAAATCCTATTAGAGCGTAAAATATATTTATCCAAGAATGTTTCCTTTCACTTCTCTTTGAGTTAGGCCGCACCTGCCCGCTGAGAGGAGAACCTTCAGACCTGCTGGGTAGGCAGGGATGAAGGAGCAACTGATTTTTGTTGTTTTAAAAGTCTGACCAGAGCTTCACTGAGAGGGTAAAAATGAGCAACACATGGAGAGGGGATAACGGTTTTTCTGCCGCAAAACTCAGCTGGATAATTGTATCAACAATGCTGGTGCAAATTAGTCACCATTTATTTGTTCTGTGCCCTCAAACGGCAGAGAAATCTCCATTACGCGCGATTTAAAAGTCATTAAGTCGAAGGAGGACTGCTGGTAATTCTCGGGGCTGTGCGCTGACAGATTAACACATCTTCTGTGTTGGGGATTAATGGAAGCAGACAGTAAATATGCTTCTTAGACCCGCTCTTTGGGCACATGTGGGAGCTGGTTGTGTCCAACAAAATGCAGAAATGTGGAAAACTAACTTTCTGAAACGGTTGTTCCTGATAGTAAACAATAAAACACAAAGGGAATTATCATGAATTACCGCTGAGAATGAGCATTTTTGGAAGGGTGAATATGAGACATCAGATCTTGCTGCAGTTTGAGCTCATATTTAAAGAGAATTAACTGCTTGCGTGATGCTTTTCATACAGGAAGTTGACAGAAGCTTTTGAGTGAGTGTCCTTGATTTGTCCGCTCAATACAGCTCAGTGCGGCTGCAGATGTGGAAATGCGCGTAAAAAGCGCCTCCAGTCTGCATCAGCGGCCACTGGATCAACGATCCGGGCCCACGACGCTCTAATTACAATACAACCGGATGGTTTTGCGCCATATTCGTCCATAAAAGAGTATTGTTGTGTTGTTCCTCTCCTAGACATTGTTCCCTTCTTCCTTTCATCTCTCCATCTTCTCCTCCCATCTCCCTACATCATCTCTCTGGCTATATTTAGCGGCTAGACTGAGGCCTTGGCGCCAGACCGTTTAAGACCTGTCAAAGTCCCTCATATTTCCCCTTGTCACATGGACCAGCGGCCCTCTCCTCCTCCTTCTCCTCCTTTTCTCTTTTCCTCCTCCTTCTCCCTCCCACTCCACCCATAGCGACTAGCCCTCTTCCCCTGTCTTCTCCCCTGCTTCATCTCTTTCTCCTCCTCCTCCTGCTGCTGCTCCTGTTCTTTTCTCTGTTTCATGAAATCAGCTCCAACTTGTGGAAAAACGCCACTGTATTTCCTTAAACGAGCGCAAACAGCGTAAAAGAGTTGCTCTGTCTGCGGAACAGTTTAACGCCTACATAAACCCACTTCCGCAATGATGCAGACATTTTCAGTCAAAGTGGCTTAATGACCTATCTGCTGCTCTCCCGTGAAAACCCGGCGACAGGTGGGTGACCAGGCGGGGGCGCTATGGTGACCCCCCTAACGGAGGTGTGAGATCAGCCCCAGACAGTCTGAGGAGGTCCGATCAGGTTCAGTGTCACAGAGTGTCAGATAAACTCTGCTCCTTCACACTGAGCGGACGGAGCAGGATTCATTTCAGCTCTGCTCATCACGGCGAGGCTGAACTGAACCCCGAGCTGCAGAAAGGCCCCGCAGGTGGAGGAGTTTGTCCGGCATGCTGACAAAACCCCAGAACTAAACAAACCAAAAGATAGACTCTGCGCTATTCTTTCATAAAAGCCCAACTGATCTTTTTGAGTATTAAAAAACACACTAAAAAAAGACAAGAAAGAAAGCATCTTTGCTACTATATATGTATATAAAATGTTTTTCATGAGATGTCTATAGTGATTACTAATTTCGTCTGATTTCATATTAATCTTTTCTCGATTTTTTTATTATTGTGTTGTGATATATCCAGTTATTGAACCATCTGCTCTGCCTCCTCAAAAGTGATCCAGAACATTTCGGCCTCGGCGCAACAACTTCTAGAAGCCCCTGACCCCCCGCCCCCCCCCGCCACACACACACACACACACACACACACACACACACACACACACACACACACACACACACACACACATTCAGGTTTTAACACGCATTCATCCTCTACTTGTGAGTTAATATTACAATTTAGTGCAATGTTGATTTAAAAAAAAATTCCGAACGCCGAAAATCGACCATTAAAATGGTTATAATTTTTAATATAATGCGTTTCTGCGCAACAGCGAGATATTATAGATTAAAATAATGATAGTAATATAAGTGAATAAAAAGACGGGGAGTCCTAACAGCGCTCAGCAAACTGTATGGAGACGGTTTGGTTTATTTCCGTTCTAATCACAAAACCTTAGAGCTGCCTCAACCTGCTGAAATGTCGTTTTTCGAACTGTCGAAACAAAGAACAAACAAAGAACACAAAAAAATTGTGGAGTTTTTCTAAACGGGAAAAAATGAAACAAGGCGCAACATCGGGCAGCAGCTGAAGAGTCCTCTGCGCTCATCACTGTGCAGTTATTCACACACACACACACACACACACACGCGCGCGCGCGCGCGCGCGCGCGCGCGCGCGCACACACACACACACACAAATAACAGACAAAAAAAATAAGGCAGACAGAATTCAAGTCATGTATCCTCCAAATTGATCCTATAATGAAACATTGCAGTTCAGTTTATTATTCTAGCGTTCAAAGTTTTGCTGCTTTTTATTTTTATTTTTTACACATCTGGAGATCTGCGCCTATCCTTAATATATTACAGTATTAAAAATTTTAAAACAAATAAATACGTAAAAATAATTATAATAAAAGCCATGTATTTCCATGAGTTTCTACTACAGAAAATAACCTGCTGCTAACTTTAAGGTCAGGGGTCAGCAGCCTGCACCCCTCCCCCCACTACCAGGTTGCGTTGAGCACTAAACTGACTACCTTTAAAAATAAAGCCATTACAAAGAAAGATTCTATTTTCAAACATATGGAAGTTTTATTTATTTTACTACATATATAGAATATGAGGAACCACAAAAAATTATGTCCAAATTATGTTTTAGGGCCAAGGAAAATATAAAGAGTTTACAACAATCAAAGATGCATTTTAAATGGATGTTTATGAAAATAAAGAAAACTAATAAACCTGATTAAAAAGATAGAGCAGGAACTGCTAGTGATCGTTAGCATTAGTGTTACTGAGGAAAATGGATACACGCACTGTCTCAAAGTAAATTGAAGAGCTTCTAAAACGAACCTTTCCCACAGTCTTTATGTACAGACATTGCTCATTTCTGTCTTATTTGTGGTCAGACTTACTTGAGGCCCCAGGAGCCCCTGAAGCAGCACATGCAGCTGCAGGTGAGTCTGTGTCCAGCGTGTCCTCGTCGGCCCCTACAAATCCCACACTGTGGCCCCGTTTCTTCAGACGCCTCTCAGGTGACTGATGTTGTAAAACACAGCGCTGGGTCTCCTGTTGACGGACTCCTCGCTAAACAACATTTATCTCCCCAGGAACCGGTGAAGACAGATGTTCTGTTCAGCCGCGGCGAACGGAAGCTTCCTCTGCAGGTAGGAGCTGATCTGATCTGCCTCAATTGACTTCGACTCGTTTCATTTTTAAAAAAACAGAATTACAAATTACAACGAACAAAAATACATGGAAAAAAAGAATAGTAGGGACACGTGGTTATTAACTGCTGCCATGTTTGAGTTTCACCTCGCAGGGTGATCTGGTTCAGGCTCTGCAGTCCTCTCAGGTGGTCAACATGGAACTGATTGACTCACAGCAACCTTCTTTCTTTTTTGAGTTATTTTGTAAATGTTTCTAGCAAAAGATATCTGCATTGCTTTTTTACAAATAAAAAAAATCCCAAATTCTATTCAATTTGCTATTGAGGTTTGTTTATGTTGCTGCAATTCACAACAAATCTGTGTGTGATGATGTATTTATCCAGTTTGGTGGAGAATCTTTACAGACTGAAGGAGTAAAACATTTGGCCTTGCAGCAGTCTTATGTTGTGTGCATTGGTTCAGATGATTTTGGCAGATATTGTCTCATGTTGAGCTCCATGACATAATGTAAACAATAAATTCAGAGGTCAAACTAATATATTATGGAGATCAAAGCACATGCCACACTCTGTCACATTAACATCTGCTTCATTCATTCACAACTGCTTGAAAAAAATCATTTAGCCATCCTGAGATATTCCTAGTTTATGTGAAGCTGCACATAAAAACTATTACAATATAATACTTTGTATTTCTTTTGACCAAATCATGTTAAATGACTTGATCTCAAAGAACATATTGATCAATAAATCCCAGATAATTTCCACTTGTGATATGAAAAACCAAAAAACAAACAAACAGCTAAATATAAAACAGAAAAAAAGCTACAAGCATAAATGTCCAAAGCTTTAAACTGATAAAGTGTGTTTGTTAATTCATTTTTGGCATCCTTGGAAACAGGTAAACATAAGATTAGGGTGATTGCAAGGAGGCCGTCTCTCCTCAAGGAGTTGAAGTTCATTATAAACCAAAAATGTAAATACCAGTAAAATTTGCTACATAATTTCAAGAAGGGTTGTATTATTGTAATTTTGTATTTTTTCACATATTTTATAAAGAATTTTTGACATGGCTTTCTTTTTTTAAATGAATATAAATACAAACTGATAATTTATTCATCATCCCTTTACATTATTTTATTTTGTCAGAGGTGGATAGTAAGTAGTTATATTTTCTCAGTTAAATTTACTTGAGTTATTTATTGGACAGAAAATACTTATAGTAGCTTTCCTTCACTGTACTTTGAACTTTTTCTTGAGTGGTGTTATTATGAAGTGTCACCACTGTTACTTGAGTAAAATGTCTGGACCCTCTAACTACTGCGAGTAACTTCATAACTTCACCAAATGAAGAACGAACATTTTTTAACCAAAAACAAACCAGACACACATGAACACAATTAGGTCAGACTTCTGTGTTTTACACAAACCTCATTGTTCTAATATTTATTTTCTATTTGTTGAGCATTTTATGCCCTTTGGAGCTAAAGAAAATACAGTAAACACCGGAAGCACTTCACCCTGGTCTAACTCACACACACACATCTATCTATCTATCTATCTATCTATCTATCTATCTATCTATCTATCTATTGCTTATTTGTTTGGATTATATATAATTTTTTCTCTTTAAAATAGTAGAACTGCACTATATGTATTTATCTGACTGATTACTTGTTTTTTAAATACTTGTCAATTCTTTGCTCAGAAAATGTCCAAGCCGTGTAGCCTGGCAGGTCACAGAACGTGATTTTGTGTTTTGGTCAGAGGAAAAAAAAAAAAAAAAAGACAAAGCTTTGTGTCACATTTCCAAAAGGTATGTTTAGCCCACAACACGGTATGAACAGAGCACCATGGCCACTGTAGAACATGATGTGTCTGGAGTTGTTCTTCTTCAAATAACCAGAATTATTTTCAAAGCAGATTAAATTCAGAACAATTCAAAATGTACGTCAGTTTTGAGCCTAAACCTTTCTGTTTTTACTAGAAAGCTGACGATGAGGAGGGATTTTATTTTTCAGTATCATGAATCCAATGTCACAAACAAACATGAAGTTGGTTATTTAAAACATTTCTTCTAGGCTATGGAAAATTGCAATTAGATTATTCCACCTCTTTTCCCTTCTACAAATAAGATTGTTGCTTTATTAAGTTGGAGAAATGTCACTAAATGTGGAAAAGTGGAAAAATTGTAAGATTTACCATTTAAATCTTACAATTTTACCAAGCGTGTGGAGATTTTGTAGAGGCTGTTGCTGCAGTCAGCCCTGTTCTGACTGATGCCGTGTGTGGTTGGTTTTGAGTGGGCTAACTGTCAGGACTTGGTTCTGTTTAGTTAGGGGTTTCATGTTATGCTCAATCACTAGAATTTAAGAGTTGTGCTAAAACACAGACACTTTGGTTATCTTGGAAAATATGCAATGCTTTCAAGGTACAATCACTTATTGTTAAAAGTAATTAAATGAAAGACAAATATTTAAAGGACGCAGTATATTGGGAAACATGGCTTTAATGTAAACAGTGAAATCCTGTGTATTTATACTGCTACCAGTTGTAAGGGTGTCTCTCATTAAACTGACTTCTGACTTCAAAGTTGTGTTTTCTTCTTGCTGATCATGGGAGTCTGAACAGCAGCAGGAAAACAATCTCACAGCATCTCCTCTCTCTTCAAACCAGACTGGAAATGACCATTTTCAGATGAACACAAGTTCAGTTTTTATTGAAAAGAGACTCTTTCGGATCCTCCATCCTTCCACTGAGGCTCAACTCAAGGTGACTTTTTAATTCCAGGAGTCTGTTAGCTTTCACCTACATCTGCCTCCAAGTTTGAGTTCAGTGTTATATTCTGTTAAAGTTTGAACAAAGGATTTCTGGGATTTGAAACTGAGCTGATTAAAATAAATAAACAGAGCCTCTTTTTTTGGTTCTTCCAGAACAAAGAGCCAGCACTGGCAGTAAAAAGGCCCTTTAACAACCCTTTATGGCCTGTTAAAAATATGGTACTAATTACCTGTTGCACTGTGTGCTGATGGTCACTGCTGTGGTTAAAATGGAAACAACACATTTGGAGTAATCCACATAAACATAGAAAAAAAAGTCCTCTACTTTTATTAAGCTTTTAATGAATGGATGCTGGGAAGCAAAGTTAGATTATTATCAACAACAAATGTTTGCTCTCCAGTTTTTAGATCCATGGACTACAGTCCACCTGATCACTGTCGTGCACAATATTATCAGTTTGTAAATCATCCAATTACTTTACATTGATTAAAAAAAATTACAGGTAACAATACATCATGTTCCTCTATGCTAAACAAAAAGCTATCAGGAGGAAAACGCATTGTTCCAAACATCTACAGGTTTTTCAAGATTTTGGTCAAAACATGTAAAACAAACTACAAAAGATTGAGTTCAGCGTGCAAAACCAGAATGTTCTACATGGAACGGCTGAGTGCAGCAGAGGGAATCCATCTAGATAAATTCAGAAACATATTTCAATTATACTGTAAACATCTAAATTACTTCTGCAATGTAGTAATAGTGTCATCTCATTACTGCATCTTTTGTCAAATGTAATTACATGAAAATCAAAGGCAAGAAGGGAGTAAATTCAATCAAAAACATTTAGCGAGGGGCCATGAAAGCAGCCACACACATCTAAAAACGCACACACACACACACACACACACACACGCACACTAACGCAGAGAGAGAGGTGGGGAGGGGAGGAGCCACACATCACTGCCAGGAGTACATTCTTTTTCTTCTCCTTTTCTTATGGCCCAGACACACAATAGGCGCTCCGTAAAAAATCAGCAACCACGGAGGACGCTCAGTGGACTTAACGACAATGCAACAGGCTCAGACTCTTCTGTGGGGTTGAGTTTAAAAAAAAAAATAGTTAAAAACGTTTCCTGACTGTTCCCAGGTCGATCAATGAATACGGAAAAATATTGGCTCTCAAAACACATCTACACTTGGACATTAGCTAAAATGTGGGGGAAACAATAAAAGGTTTGATATTTTTTGGACACCATGGCATTAGAACTAGCTAATTAAAAGAAAAAAAAATCAGCTAAAGCTTCACCAAACAGCAGAATGTGAGCTTAGAATATTGACCAGGTATCCAGCTGGGCTCTCTCTCATGTCCCACCAGCTGTGGGACAGCAGACAACAACAAGCACACATCTGATTCATGCTGCTGTGGAACTTGTGTTGAGCAGGTGGGCCGAAGCTTCAGGGGAAGTTGGAGGGGAAGAGGCTGAGTGGCTGGCTCTCGTTGGTGGGCAGAGGAGAGCGGTATCCTTCGAAGTTGCGTGGGATACTACCGCTGGTGGAGCCTGAGCTGTTGCTGAGAGTCTCGATACTGCCTTCCCTCTGCAGCTCTGCACGAGACACAAACAGAAACCTGCTGTCAGCAGCATGGATTAAAGCTATAGTACGTAAATTTTATTAAAAAAAATATTCTTTTTCTTATCCGTTGAAACAGACAGTATAAGACAGAAAATCTTTGAATAAAAAATGGAGTTCCTCTGCCTTCTAGAAACAACCAATCAGAGCCAGGAGGCGGGTCTTAGCGCTATCAATCACAACTTCAAGAGGCTAGTTAGCATGGCCACTGATGACAGCCGATGAACGGTTTTTCTGTAACAGTAAATTGTTTCTCCACCATTAGCACATTTAACAGGGAGTTTGTGAGTTTGATTGACAGCACTAAGACCCTCCTCCTGGCTCTGATTGCTTGTTTTTGCTCAGGAATGGTGCAGTTCTTCAGACAGCAACAGTAGCATGGAAGAGTTGGAGGAGATATATCTTTTCACAGATTATCTGTCAGCATATAATAAAGTGACATCATGTCACTTTATAAAAGATCTAAATCAGATGCTAATGTTAGCCTTGGTAGCTAAAAGTCAGTCTGAGTATTATCTCACTCAGGAAAGCATAATAAAATCACTACCATATTTTACCGAGAAAAATAAAATGTTTATCAAAACAATGATGGATGTGGGACTTAATAATTGATAAGACAGAAAATACATGAGGCCTTTAGGCCAGCTTGATCTGGAACCAGGAGGATATGCTTGATTTACTTAAATATGTTTGGATTTTTAAACCTTACTGTCATCAATATATTGCAAGAAGAGAAAATTAATATTTTTAATTGCTTGATTGATAAACAATGTCCCACAACAATTAAGAAAATTATTTAATTAATGGCAATTTTAAACATATTTAACATATTATTAATGTTGAATTTAATCTGTTATTTCAGTCAGTTTTAAAATCCATACAAGTTTAGAAAACTGGACTATTAGTTTGAAACTATATTATAATAGTTATTAAAATTGGTGAATTCAGAAAAATAATACTTGGATTATTTCTTTAATTTTGCCCAGCTAAAGAAATCTCTCATTACAATCAATCAATCAATGAATCAATCAATCAATCAATGAATAAGTCAATCAATCAGAGGTCAGCTAACCTTATGGTTAGCCACTCAGAAACTTATATTCATAATCGGTTTATTTCTGTGTTAATCCATAAAACCCATGACCGACCGGCTGGTTTATCCAGAGTTTTTCCTTTCGCTTCAGCTCATTCTTCACCATAGGTAGGAGATGAATCAACAGAGTAAAAGTCTGTCAGCTTTTCATATATTGTGTTAGAGATGCAAAAAGCTACATAAGAACCACAAAGAAAACGAGCTCATTGGACAGAGGTGCAGCAGAGAGAAATGATTACTGCAACAAGTTTCCAGATTTTTCATCTTAAAGATGTTGTAGATTTTCTCTCTGTAGCATACATTGTTATCATAAACACCACTGTGGATTGTCCAAGCAGCTCTGGTCAAGATCTGACCATGAGGAATTAGTTACAGTTATTACAAGCCGTCAACCATATCAGTCGGTGTGTGGACGAAATGCCGTGCAGCTAATGGAGATGCAGTATTTAGACTGTGATGCATGCAGTACGTTGTGACGTCCATCTGTGTTTAATCTCCTTGTGCTGCCGGCCGCTTGGCTCACACTGGCTGTTGCAACGCAGTCACACACACCAGCTAGCATCCGAGACCCAGTAGAACCATAATCTATAAATCAGGAGGACGATGTGATCACCAATGGCCATGAGATCAGAACATGTGGGTTTTTGTCCACAGCACTTTATCAAGTTAACAGAACAAAACCATTGAATGCATCTGGATCTTCAGGCCCACATCAAGATCACTGGCGAAAATTAACTTGGAGAAAATGTCCTCTGAGCATGAAAGTGATGAGAAGATTCACTAATAATTAAGAGCATCAATAGTAATGGCATAACACTGAGAAAAGCTGCAAATATGTATCTAATACTCTAATTATGAGCTGTTTATAAATAAGTTGAGCCCTGCAGCCCTGCAGCTCACATGTGTCAAATTCAAGGTCCGCAGGCCAAAACCGGCCCACCATAACAATTTATGTGGCCATCGAGCCTCTGGAGGGCCACATAAATAGAATTTCAAGATAACTCTTATGTGCTTATTATTTCATCAGTCAAATAACATCAGTTTTTATTTCTATCCTGCCAAACTGCATCAGTATGAATTTTTAAAACATATTATTTAATTTAAAAAAGTACTGATCTAATGCAGACAAAGTTGAAATATTTTAAGTTTGTTAATACATTCTGCTGCAACTGGCCCCTTACAAATATCAGTAGTATGACAGTTTCAGGTAAATTATAATTAGGCCATGTTGAAATTTCGCTTGGTTGCTGTGGCAACCAAGCCAAAGCAGTTTTAACTGTTCTGTTAACTTAAAGCAGTTTTAAAAGCAGTTTTAAACAACAAATTTACCTTAGGCTGATATGGTAGCAATAAATGCAGAGCATTTGTGTTGCTTTAACACTCACATGACCCAACATACATATGACACTGGAGTGAGACTGATTGATAAAGAATAGTCTTTAAGCATACAGGGTTTGTTTTGTTTTATATCTAGAGGCCAGATCTCTGGAGAGCCCGCAGCATCATCAAGGACCCCTCACACCCCGACCACCACCTCTTCAAACTCCTGCCCTCAGTGAGGGGCTTCAGGACAATAAAGTAAAGAGCAAGCAGACTGAAAAACTGTTTTTATCCAAACTGTTGTTACCCTGAACACGACTAATTAATCTAAAACCTGATCACATTTATTTATTTTTCCTTAACATCTCAGTTGTTCTGTGTTTCTACTATATTTTTTATATTTATTGAGATATAATTTTTTATTATTATTTTATTCAATTTGACTTGCCTTGGGAGCTATTTTTTTCTTTGGTGCGCAATGACAATAAAAGGAATTCTGATTATGAAAAACTGTTAGTATTGATAACAGGAGAACCAAACCTTCAGTGTCTCAGTCTGTGATGTTAACAATTAATTCAAATTAAAATAAGAAAACAGATACTGCTTGTTGATACAGCAACACAAAATCACTAAGATTCTCTCTACTGTCCACTCACCCAGAAATGGAAAAAAAAAGAGACTAAATGGCTGAAAGTCTTTTTAAAGTTACTTTAATAACATCAAACCACAGCATGGATTTAATATTTCCTGCTTATGTTGAGAGCTAATGTGGACAGTGTATCTGCCAGGCCAGGCAGATACACTGTCTTCCCACAGGAAGTGGGAGTTTTTCACTTGGGCTCAGAAACTCTAGTTTCAACTGCAGTATTATTATCCCAGCTCAGGCACCATGTGCCATGCTGTGGTGTTATCCCTGCCTGCTGCCAGCTCTCCCACCCCCACTGCTCTAATTCCCCCAATACTACACAGGGCAGTTACGTTGAAGTAATCCCAGGCGGAGGGGAACACTGGCATTTCAACAGCTTTGTTTCACTTGATATTAAGCCTTACCAGGCCAATTCAAACTAATGGTTGAAAAAGCTAATAGCTGATAGTTTTACAATTAATAAATGTTCTGTTTGTAGAGCAATATGATTTCTTCTTATAAACCACAATGGACAAACGTGTAATATAAACGATCTATAAAGGTTAAATCTAATTTTCAGAGTTGCAGAGTACCAAAACACAACTGATTGCTGTGATTATTTATCATACATAACCAAAACAAAATAAGACTAAGTTCATCCTACAGATTTAGAAAGGAACGGACCAGTCAAGAGCTGCTAATCAATGGAGTTGATTGACGAATTATCTGTAAAAGAAGGAACGTTGGCAGTTTGCTGCTCTGGAACATACAGGTGCTGTTAGCATGGAAATACATCAGCAAGGACTTTAGAGAGACAACAGCTACAATCAGTGGCTATCATTCTGGCTTCAGTCCAAATGACTGAAGCTGGTTGTTCTCTAGAAAGAAAGTTTAAGAAGTTCAAAGTATTTAAGACAGGAGTGAATATTCCACCAAATTCCCACTGGCATTAGACAGCATAACACTCATAGAAACAGCAAGTAAACATCTTCCTGCCTCAAAAAACAATCATGCAGTACAACATAGGTTTGCTAAATTTTTATTGTCTTGATATGCAAAACCCTAGGATAGAAAGAGAGTATAATTTCTTTTTCCCATAACTGTAATTGTAGGAATATAGGTCATCTGTAATATTAGCCTTTTTTCCAGTGATGGCAACAACTAAGCAGAAATAAGTGTTTAGAGTGAGCCTCACCTCTGCAGCTCTGTGCCACCTCTCTCCTGAGGGTCCTCCTGAGGAAGACTGAGACTTGGAATGGTCCTTTGTTTTTTTGTGTTTTACAAACTGAATTGACTTTAATTTCTACACAGAATAAATAAAAAGCCCAGTTAACTGTGCGCAACCAACCCAGGTTTTCTTCTTCTCCCACCACTAACCATGACTGCCACCACTTACCCTCCCAGCTTGCCTTTTCGCCAATCCCAGCTGGAGCTGCTTTGCTGTTCAATGTGTCATTGTTATTGTAGGTGCTGTAAGCTGCTGAACGCCCCAGCAAAGCCCCAAAGGCCCTTTCTAGTGCTGCCTAATCCACTTCATTGTGTGACGCCTACCAGCTATTCAACAAGTCTTAACCTCTCACGCCCCCAACACAATCCCAGAGTGCTCCCATGTTGGGGATATTTTCCTCTGGGACTCATGTTGCAAGGTAAAGCAATAAGGTTATTTACTACGTAGTTTTGTGTGATGTGATGCATAGATAATGCTGATCTGGAAAGACCAGGGTAGGCATGGAAACTACTGTCAGGTTCAGTTGATATGGGATTTAAAAGAGATTGGATGGTTTTGAGCTGACAAATATTTTGTGCTTCTGTTTGAGAGGCTTATCCTGAAAAATGTCAAAACACAACACACTAGAAACATGAAAGCTAATAGAATCTAAGATGGGGAGTTCTAACTGTAATATAAACAACGATGGTACATTTCATCTCCTTTAAGA